TCGATATGAAGCATCATTCGGCACGAAATGTCCGACGTAAATCATGGATGGCAGGTTAGTTTGCTAATTTCTAGTGTTAAACATGGTACGTGAGGTTCACAAAGTTTTGACATATTCGATTAGGTATGTAAAGGTTTAGTTAATATTAAAATCCGGAGGAAAGTGATGGTTACATTTTGATAATCCTTGGGTGTTATTCAGATCTTGGAGTAAAGGTTAGATTCCTTTTATCTATGAAGAGAATAACAGAACGTAAACTCATGACAATTGACAATAATCGAGAAAGCGCTGTGTTACTTGAAGTTGAAAACTGCGTTGTTCTTATGATTAGGTTAGATTTTCGTTTTCAAAATTCAAATTATAGAAGTGGTACATAAGTATGAAGACAAGAAAATGGATCTTGAAAGACGTTTGAACATATTTTTGTCATTTGTGCGAGTTACTGAGTGTGTTATGTGCCAGTTATGATAATTTACTAGATACAAAGTTCATACTTCCAGCAACATTTTGGTGGGAGCTTCGAGAAGAGGTAAGGTAGGTTGTTTCTTAAATGACTACAGTATTTTGTTAATTACAACAAGTCACCTATCATGGAGAATAAGGTTTCAGGTCCAGTGGGTGGACACGCTCGTACTATCTGACCCCCCCAGGTTCGAGTGATTGTGTCATTCTGATATTCAACAAACTTGGCAACTAAAAAATAATATTCTTAAAACAATTGATACTGCTGATAGGAGAAACTATTTCCATTCTTTATTTATGTGAAAACTATTTTCAGAGAATTTTGATACCATATTATGTAAGTATCAAAATTGGAATGCGTAAGGGGATGCTTTGATTTACATAGACATTTACTTCGATTTAATAGCAAACTATTATAATTTCATCCTACTCTTTACATAAATTTAGGATACCAGTCGTGCAAATTATACCACTTGCAGGGATTTTGGAAATTCTAGCAATTTTTCTTGGTCACATGCCACAGTATTTTTTTTACATTTATATAAAATCTATCACCTTAAGAGAAATGTTACATAATTTAGGCAATTTTATATAATCTTATATTTGTCGAATGATGTATTTTACGCGCCTTAAATTTCAATGTTGAATGTTAAAAGTTTTGCAAGGAAAATTATGGCCCTGAAAAAATAAACTTCCGAGTCAGTTACACAAAAACTTGCCGTTAAAGTCTGTAGGTAAATTTTTTTTAATGCAGTTTAACTTTCCTTATAATCACGCATGACACAAAAGAAATATATTTTCATGCTGTTTATTTAATTTAATCATTTTTGAACTAGGAACAGAATTCAAGTAATGGGTTATATAAGAAATCCCTTTAGTCTTCATAAAATAAAATTATATTAATTTTATTGTAATGTCATACATTCTCTACGGTCATTTACATATTTTGCTTTGTACATTGATTACTTCAACTTGGTACCAATAAGGAAAAACTTGTTCAATTTAAAGTGCCAAATGCTTTAAGTGAAGCTTGATGTCAGATGTGAGCAATTCTTTTTTATTTTCATTCTCCAGGAATATTCTTATTTATAATTATTTATGTAATGTATTGATCCCAAATTATTATCTCACTCGATGAGATTATAAATCCAAATGCTTTAATGCTTAGAATTATGGCTTTATTGAATATTGATCGAATGTTAGGGATGAGTACAAAGCCTTGCCACTGGCCATTTCGCATTCAAGCCAGAATCTTGACTTCAATTTTTATTATCTTCTCTTTCAAATAATGCGTGTTTAACTGAATCTCTGCAATGAGAAGAAACATTTTTGAATTTGTTTTAATACTCGATTTTAATGGACTACAGACATTTATTTCTGGTGATGATTGTGAGCCAAGTTCTACAAAACAAATTTATAGAATCTGTAACAGAATATGAACCAGAAGTCTATATATTTGGACCCTCAGTACTATATGCAGAGTGTAGAAGTCCATTTTTCTTTTGTTTCGCCAGTTTTGTGGCATTCTTCAGGTTGTACGTGTATTCTAAGTTATCAAATGTATTATCTTTAGAACTTACTTATACTGAGAGCTGTTTATATTTAAATGAGGTGTTGTTATTTACTCAGGTGTACCACATTTCAGGTTTTGTGTTCTTGTGGGCTGTAATGCTTTGCGGAGTTAAAGGTAGATACAAACATTCTGAAGGGAAGTGTTAACTTCATCCTTGGAGTTGACATGAAGATGGACTGGATTCTTTATATAGGGTTAAGGGACCAAAACGGAGAGTGGAATCAAGGATAAGTCTGAACATTTTTATCTGATGCCAATACAGTTCAAAGCAGAGACTTTACCTCTTTCTCTCTCCTGATGTAGCCTTTTTATCTGGTGTCCTGTTCTCATCCCTTGGCTCTAGTTTGACAATCCCTCCATCCTGGTCACACTTCTAACCTTTCATAAACAATTGACTTCCTAACAATATAATTTCAGCCCAAAAGATGCAGGCAGTATGTTCCTCTGAAACACTCGTATTTACCTACAAGTCTATATGGCGTTACAACCCAGGAAACCAACCACCTGACATGGCTAGTAGCCCGAGAACAATTCTTAATCGTCACGAAAGCTTCGTAACATACGCCGACATATTTTTCACTGAGAGAACCTCAAATTTCAAGTGTAGCACGTCATAATTATAGATAATTTACTAACACATTATTAATGATCATGATAATTCTAGTAGTTTTAGTTTAATCATTAGTATTGGGTGATAACTGATGACACAGATTTAAATAATTTACTTCATTTATTGGGGGAACTTGCAATCTGAATGTGGGACTATAGACTTATTAACACGAACTGATGTAGCCTCTAAACGTGCTCGTATTTGTTTAGGGAAAAATATCTTGTACTCATCTAGAATGACGTAGTATAATATTTTCAAACTCATTCTTGGATATAACAAATTAATTGTTTACAATAATTCTAAAATAGACATTGAATGATGAACAGGAATTTATGCGTTAGTGGAGGTTCTAATTTTCACTGAAAACACTGATACAGTCTAATTATAATGTTGTTGCTGTTAAATCGTTTCCCCTACAGTTTCTTACAACTTAATAACATGTTGAGTAATATTTTAGCGTCGTACGCATCTCTGAGCTGTCTAAAGCTTATTATATACGTATATTGGATTCAGTCCTTTCAAGAACATTTTTCATTGCGTTATAAAGCAAAAATTTCGTATTGAGAGTCAAGTTTGCCTGGGTTAGCGAAGACGGTGTAGGGTGACAGAGTTTTTAAACTTGCCATCTAGAAGGATTTTTAAATATCTGGTAGGTAAATACTAATATTTTATTAATTTATTCTAAAGATTACCAAGTATATTGTCATGTAGATTATTTTGTATTTGTGCTTTCTTCAGTATTAACAATATATCCCATACTCATTCTGAAAACTCGAACCTCGCACACGTGTGTACATACGTGATACCCTGCAACTTTATTTGCCATAAAAGAAAATTATGAAACCAATAACAACGCATGCCAATTAATATGGAGGTTAAGTTGAGGGAGTGCTGTATGTTTATCGTGA